TATTCTACACAAAGGCAAACCACTGCTCCGACCATGGTGTAAACATTTTGTCTGCTCATTAATATTGTCGTTTCTGTTGCATTAATGACTTAAGGCAAAAATAAGCAAGGGGATGATGCCTTTGATTACATATTTCGCTATGACAACTCCATTAATAATGACAGTAAATAGCGTGACGTGTCAAAGTTTCGAGAAGGGGAAACACGTTGTAAATTAAATTAGCAAATAGTGTGTTGAACGTCGATAGGTTCTTTCCAGATATTACAAATATTACGTAACTAGTTTAGCATGTATGCGCCGCGTTTTTTTACCTCAGGTGATAGAGAACATTTAATGCAGGTCAGACGTGCCCTGGTTGACCTTTCTGTAAGTAAGGTAGGATAATTCCAAGTTATGTTTTAGTTAATACTCCTATGCATGGTTGGGGTGTTGGTAAAGTGGGAATCGATTATGACACTAAGCAAATGCGTGCGTTGAAAAAATGCTCGCTTTAAGTTTTCTCTGCACCTGTTTCGGCCGTAATCCCATTTCGTTAGAATGCTATCACGAAATTGACAGTAAATCTTTGCTAGGGTGTTAAGTATCTAATTAGGGAGAAGTTGCTACTTTCACTTTGCACTTTTTCTTGCTGAATTTTCCTACGGTCGCCTAGGCCGTTTTCTTCCCTTATTTTCTGTATTTCTTCATAAGATGTCTGTAAATTTTAACTTCAAGTCCATATTGAGATTTCCGAAAGACAAATGTACTACTCTAAGCAGCAGTATTAGTAACAAACATTAAAAACATACATTACAATACTTCTGTCGTCATTAATGAACGATTGTTAATGCCATTTTTATGACCAAGAGTTCCTCAAATATGCGGTTCCTCCTTTACCTTGTTCTTTCCTCAAACCGTGCTTCGAGAAGCAACCTCTTTATAACAACGCATATCTAAACAATGCTGTGGGACCGTGCATGCTTGGGGTGTAACGAGTTCTTTTTCTGTATGCTATAGAGGTTTCTTCAGAATTTCCGGTAATTCAGCAGAGTGGCCTTTGCTCCACTGTCCTCCCGGGCACAAGCCGAAAAGTGGACAGACGATGCCCTTGGCTTACGAGTAGTTGAGTTGTACGATGCACCGACTTCGCTACGTTAGGGGTCACGATTCTCACCTTCTTGCTTTTCTTTATGCCTGCATTTCGGCTGCAGTTTTACATGATCTCTCGTTCCTTTCGACTGTCCTGATCTGCAGAAGATAAAATGAATTGATTAAAAGATTTTCATATATGGTTATTGTATATTATCAGCGTATATGTCAGCCTCTTCGATCCACCAATAGATAAAAACTTTTTACATTTGGGAGAGGGAAAACCAAATTTCAAAAATAAGCTATTTCCAAGCAGAAACAACAATGATATTCTGGGTTTACTGGCAAATGGGTTTTTCGATGCCGCCTGTCAACATTGATTGGCACCGCGCAGTTACACGACCCGCCTTGCTTCTTGAGGTCGAGCGACCCTTTAACGGTCAAAGGCATATTATGAATCAAGGTTATTCTGCTGTTAATCAATCCGTTAGCCTCGGTTGATGACAAAATGCGCAGCCACACGTGCAGAAGATGGATACAGAGCTTCGTCCCTGTGTTGACTGGAACGGAAGCGACAAAAACAGAAGGCTACGGTAAGGTGGTATTTAAGCACCTGTAGTTGCAGACGCATCTCGGATGATTT